TTTCTGGCTATTCAAAGAAATGAAGCAAATGAAATGACTGTGACATGTTTTCATGTTATTTCAACTCTCAGTTTCTTGTTCTTTTTCGCGTCAAACAAAAAACATTTTCGCTCATTATCCACAGCGCCATCTATGGTCAACAAGTTATAATAGCTATTTTCAAAGGTCATCTGTAGAGGGCGACTCATATCGGATTCAAGATGGCCCCCGTGATCATTGTCTGTGAGCAATTCAACAAAATACCCGTAGGGAAAAAAGGATAAGATAGGTGAGTTATTTCTATTTGATGTGGTATGAACTCCTGATAATAGTGAGGAGATTCTAAGCAAGATTCAATCGAACATAGCATGTCCAACCGGTATTAACCGTTCAGTTATGTTGATTGTGTCTCCATAGCGTTGTCTCTGTGGTGAAATATGACTGTGCTTATCATGGGGCCGGTGCGTTCGAATATTTGTGTTCCACAATAGTACGGTAATCCCAGAGTTGGGTCTTCAGCTGTAAGGTCAGGGGTCATCAGTCAAAGTTGCATGTCTACTTAAACTTATAGTCACTCGAGGGCTGGAAATAAAATAAATCAATCAGAACTATTTATTTATTTATTTTTTCATATTTTAAAAGCTACTCTTCAATTGAAAGAGTAAGAAAAGCATGACCGCTGTAAAATCAAATCCATGGATGGTCGATTTCATTTATCTAGTTCTTATCTTAAAATGTGGAATAAAAAAATACCCTGCCACCGGCACATATAACAATTTTTTTTTTTCGGCTGGTATCTAGTGTAAGAACAAGGGATGAAGGCTCCAGCCAGCTCACATTTTTTAAACTCGAAAAAACAGACGAAAAAATTAAATCTAAAAAAAATACCAGGTTGAAGAATATTAGTTGCTCCTTCAAATTCCGCCAAATCCTTACCTACATTTTACCGATATCTGCAGAATAAATCAAGAAAACTACACAAATTGACTCCATTTAGGAATTCCTAACGGTTAGTCCGAAGGCATGACACAGTTGGAGGCGTGGCCTGTTCAGCATTTGTCAACAACCAATCACAAGACTGGTTACTGCTTCCAGGGGTAAGGGGGCACATGGCCATGGCATGAGGGCGCTGTGCGCCTGTTCCCTTGTTTAAAAAATCCCTGCATTTGCAAAGTATTTGAAATTTCCAGAAACTTTCATGAAACTGTATTTGTATTGCTCAACCCTAAACTTAAAATAAAACTGACCATCGTGACGCTTAGTTTTGAAATATCAGTTGAATTCACTGACTTTCAAGACTTATCTATAAAATCACAGTCCCTTTATCACATAGAGGGACTGTGATAAAATGTAGAAATTCGCCTGCCAGATGGCAAATAACAAGGTTGAAATAAATTCTAGGTTTCTGTTGAAGTTTTTAAATCCATGTTTGCATCTAAATAATTCCACATTTCAACAACATTAGTTAATTTTCATTTATATTATTTATGTATAATGTGGTCCTGGTCAATTCAATAAATATATTATTTCTCTTCATTCAAATCTAAATTTTCTATCCCTGTAAATTTCTTTAATGTTTATAGCATAATGCTTATTTACCATTTTAGTTATTTAGTTAAAAATGAGACAAACAAAAGCAAGGAATCTCAAATCAAATAACAATATTTACCAATCACTAACATATAGTAATGTATGTATAAATGAAATAAAATACATAACAAAAACATCCTATCCCCAGTAATTGTGTACATGTATGTTCCTGTTGTGTCATACATATAGTCCAAGCCTAGCATAACATTTAAAGTGCCTATGAAATGGCTGCTATTTTCACGCCTAAAATTATCCATTGATACATAAATATTATTAATTTTTATGTTTCTAAGCATGAATTATTTTTTTAAGTGAAAAAATGTGTTTTAAACTCAGTCTACGGCAACTTTATTTTTGTGTATTTTAAAACGAGGCTCCTCATTAGCTTCTCATTTGCATACAGAAATTCCCCTTGTGACGTCAGAAGGGGAAGTCGCATGCATTGCCGATAATTGTAAATAAGGCAAATTTCTTGTGCAGTTTTCTCGTCTTTGACTAAATTGTCACTTATGTACAGATGTACTTGTTCGTCGAGGAAGAATGGACCATAATGAACACATAGTATCATTTTTTGTTGCATGGGGTTAAGTTAGATGCGAAATATGTCCGTTCTGGTGTAGCTGGTCACCATGATTGTCACTGACACCGGCGCACGTTTGTACACTGTCGCTGGACAAAATAGAATTTGACGTCAGAATTATCTCGCTATTTAGCAGGTTACTCGGCACGTCACTACACTGTTTTATTTCATCGATCGTCTGAGTAAAACTTTCAAATTTAAATTAAAAGAGAACATATTTTGACATTCTAAACATTAGACTATAGTGATCACTATAAAATAATTAAAAAAAAACGACAAATCACAGTTACTAAATAAATGACAGCCGCGTGGAAATAAATTGACATTTTGTTGAAATAGGTGAACGCGTCGAGTCACAACGAGGGCAAGTGCGTTGAAAGCGGCGTTTAATTGGATAACAAAAATAATCGAGATCGACACACATACAGATAAATTCAGAGTGGATTCGAGTTAGCGTGATCCATGGCGTGATTGTCATAATTATAACATCATATTAAAACTTTATTTGGTGGAAACACATTGACCAAGCCCGGATTCTTATTTCATAAATTATTTCGCAGATCAAGCTGCAAGCATGGAGGTAAAAAAAAAACAGAGGTGTGAATTCGACATTCAACACCAATCACCAAACAATTCAGAAACTTTTAGCCTTCGAAAATGAAAACAATTAGCAGTGTGTAAGGGCTGTGTAATTTCCTGTTTGCCCGAAGCTTCATTTTCGTGTCACTGTCAGAATTATTGCTACCTTTTACTTAACACTGAGGGACTAAATGGTCTCTATAAAACGATAATCAGGATCGCAAAAAAAGTCAACTCATTTGAAAAACTTGCCGGACGTCTCTCTCTTCTGAAATCCGCCTTGGTGATCATGGGCTGGTCCGGAATCTATTTCTTTCAAAAGTGTTGCGCCAGGTTTACGTTGTTGGCGTTTCTCTTTAAACCTAGTTGTGTTTTTTTTCATGGACGAGGACAGTTTTTCCAAAACAAAAAAAAGAATCTGAGGTTAAGTGGCTTTCGTCCACTGATGTCACACCTTCGGATCGATTAGAAATGTGTGAATACATACACTTTGACTATACGTTTCACTGCAACTGCCCACAACATAACATCTAAAAACTCTCTCTCAAAAAAAAAAAAATAGACGAAAAAAAGAAAGAAAAACGCCGACCGAAAAATGTATATCGTTTAAAAGTATACTGAATGACCAGTGCTATTACTGCTCAGGGGTATGACTTCCTCTCACATTTTGTCATTTGGTGGCGCACTTTCGGCGAGAGTCGGAAATCCGGAAACAGTCGACCGTTTCAGGATAGGTGGGCGTGGCTACAACACAAGAAATATCCCAAATTTACTTGGATACGAGTAATCATTTTCAGTAAAAAAATCAATACTGTCCATTTCAGTGGGACACAGATCTAAAATGGGAAACGTGAGGGTGGGCATTGCACAGGCACTTTAACTGTCTATCAGCTGGCTTCAAGCAATGACACTAAAAAATACACGGAAATGCAACTCTGCGTTGGAACAAAAGAACGGAAGTCACTGTTACCGACAGGTCGCATGATAGATAAACAGTTACTTAGGCCAGTGCATAAACACTGGAAGTCACGTGATCACATCCGCTCAGCTTTTTTTGTTTCCTGTGTATTGTATCAGTAGCTTGCGTTTTACGTATTTTCTAGTGTCTTTGCTTTAAGCTAGCTTGCTTTCAAATCTATGAGATATTTATATTGTTCAATGTAATCTGCCTTTATCTCATGTTATGTACTACAATGATTCCCAAGTATTTATGAAAAACCAGGAGCCAACTTGAAAGTTAAGTTATGATTGTACTGTAGACAGTGAGATCATATTTAAACAGGTATTACTGAGTGTTCAAATCAACTAGCATATAATATTGGGTTGCAAGTGCTAATAAGAAACTGCAGATATTAATTTAATATATATATATATTTATTTATTCAAGGTACAGAGGCCACCGGCCTATAAGTACAAGTAACATATGTCATCAAGAATGTATTACAGAGCGATTAATAACTGTTTATGCTAAAATTTGCAACCGAGAACGCAAATAAACAGAAATTTGCATTACAATAATACCTACTAATAATCTATCTTTTGCAATTGCATTTCTTAGTTGCATAGAAAATAAATTTGGCAAGGTTTCTAACAACAGTCACATTAGTGGCGTTTATGAATGAATAAATTATTAATACAATGGGTTATTTGTCTTAAATAACAAAATTTCTCTGCAGTGAGTTCAAAATTTGTTGAAAATTGCCTGAGCGTATAGGAATACTGTAAGGAAAATCTGTATTTTTTTTACCAAGGCATTTGCCATGTCTGGTTTTGGATCTCCTAACAGTAATATATTAGGGTTTTCTGGACCTCATCAGAGGTGTTAACTGTGTGCTGATTAGTGACATTATTTATATGTATATATAGTATACATCATATATATATGATTGCTTAAATTATATCATCATTTTTTAAATTGCTATTTAGGCTGGCAAGTTGTAGAATGCTGCTTTCAGAACTTAATTTGTACCCTCTTCTAAACTCATTTCCTGAGGTGATTGTTAGATCTAAAATAGTTTTGAAAATTGGCAGACAATATAATGTATCCTTTTGTCAGATAATACATACATTTGTAGTGTACATACTTAAAGGCTTTTAGTTGTCACCATGCCGACCACATGATACATGATTTTGATTGAATGTGTTAATGTTATTTACATGTATGTTCACTTTCACTTTATAATATCTGATTTCTTTATTTCAGGTCATGCAATAAACAAAACAACAGACTTGTGAAGCTTCAGTAGTAGTTACAACGCACTAATACTGCAATATGGGTGATAAAAACAAGTATCAAGAGGATTCAAGAGATATTGATCCGGTGGAAATGCATACCGATGGGAAAACTTGTGAGAATTCCAGTGACATTGATTCCGAAGATAAACACTCTGATGAAAAACCATGTCAGAAGTTTAGTGCTACTCATCCTGTGGAAATCCATACTAAAGAGAATCCATGTCAAAGTTCCAGTGATACTGATCCTGTAGAAATGCATACTAAAGACAAAACATTTCAGAATTCTAGTGCTCCTGATCTTGTGGAAATACACACTGATGAGAAACCATGTTTGAGTTCCAGTGACACTGATTCCGAAGATAAACACTCTGATGAAAAACTATGTCAGAAGTCTAGTGCTACTCATCCTGTGGAAATCCATACTAAAGAGAATCCATGTCAAAGTTCCAGTGATATTGATCCTGTAGAAATGCATACTGATGAGAAACCATGTCAAAGTTCCAGTGATACTGATCCTGTAGAAATGCATACTGATGAGAAACCATGTCAAAGTTCCAGTGATACTGATCCTGTAGAAATGCATACTAAAGACAAAACATTTCAGAATTCGAATGCTTCTGATCTTGTGGAAATACACACTGATGAGAAACCATGTCTGAGTTCCAGCGACACTGATCCTGCAGAAATAGACGATAATGAAAAGAAAAAAAGAAAAGTATGCAGAAAGAAACAGAAAGAATACAAATGTGAACTTTGTGCAAAAATGTTTTTTCAAAAAACTCATTTAAGGATACATATAAGGGTGCATACAGGTGAGAAACCATTTGTATGCAAGCACTGTGGAAGGAAGTTTGGAGAAAAGGGTAGTCTGACTAGACACATAAGACTACATACTGGTGAACGACCATATCCCTGTAAGTACTGTCATCTGACTTTTGTCGAGAGCGGTACTCTGAGAATTCATGAGCGTGTTCACACCGGTGAAAAACCATACAATTGTGAGGTGTGTCCAGCGACATTTGCTGAGAAGGGTACTTTGAGAAAACACAGGAGGGTTCATACTGGTGAGAAGCCTTACAACTGCCAAGAATGTGGTATGCGTTTTAATCAGAAGTACTCTATGATAATTCACATGAGAAAGCATACAGGTGAGAAGCCGTATCTATGCGAACACTGTGGAAAGAAGTTTGCTGAGAAAGGCCATCTTATGAGACATATGAGAATACACACTAGAGAGAAACCATATTTATGTGAATTGTGCGGTAAATGTTTCACTCACCTTTGTAATCTCAAAAGGCACATAACCACACATGCGTCGGCATAATTTGTTTTCAAATTGTAAGTTGTAACTATTGATCTTGCTAGAAACTACTGTGTTTCACTAAATACTATTACCATAGTTTTGATGTTACACCTGGTAAACAAGGTAATATTCTTACAGTGCTGTGTCTCAGCAGGTGGATCACTCATTATGCTTAGATATATTATGGGATGTCTGGAATGATTTCAGTAACAATTGGCACAAAGACGTAACATCAAAGTAGCCAGGCTACGTGATACAACTTATGATTGCTGATTAGTGGCCATTTTATAGTACTAAAATATACAAAGTTAGTGCATTTCTGCCATTCTGAACCTGGATCTCTGGCTGCATAGATGGATTTTGTTTGATATATGAAATTCACCATGTTGGACATTTTATTTTTCAAAATTTTAGGACCAATTTCTATAGACTTTTGGATGTGCAGTAAATAGAAATAGAAATGGTATCACATGAAATTTGTTATTCTATTAAAGGTAACAGTACAGTAGTTGACTTACATGGGTCATATATGTTTAGTAAGGCTTATACAATTAATTGTAAACAAGTCAGTTTTCATTCTGTGATTGTTGTCTATTTGGAATGTCAAGTGTTGTGTGCAGAGGCCGATCCAACTTTTGATATTGAGTACCACTCACGACAGAATTATTGGTTATTTCATTCAAATTTGCAGAATTCTTACCATTTTTGGCAAGGATCTCTGACCATCGCATGGGCATAATTGGCGTATGACTTAATCCAACCCCGTTGTGTTCGTCTGTCTTGTAACTGAAAGTGTGGCATGTTCAGCAGTGTGAAGATTATGCAAATAATAAGTTCTCGTCTAGAGAAATTTAATTGTGGTGTTGTGTTTTAACTATTTGTACTTAATAATAATGTGATCTTTCAGTTAGTCAGTCTCATGTCGTACATTTAGAGGTTTCACAATAAGTGTAATATTTATCTGTAATTTCTGCTAGAGCACTGTCCCTGACAAATACTGTAAAATACTTTATTTCCGCTGAAGGAATGATTTAGTGAAAATAAAATCCAGCGAATAGACCTTTTTTTTCTATATTTTACATTCAACTCGTCAAAAATCAATGAAAATAAATGTCATACAAAACACCAAAAAAGTCGTTTCAGGGAAAATTAATTCGAGCTAAAATAAAGTATTTCACAGTACTGTAATCTTGTCTATATATGTTTAAAATTATGCTGTTGTACTACAATTTTGTCATTATTCAATTGCATAATGAATTACGTGGCATATGTTATAAAGCCATCCTGGATTCTCAGTATGTTAGTGTTTACACTGATGTTTGAATCTTTTAATATTTTTAAAAGGTTTAAAAAAGTATCTGACTTGTGTAAAATTGGTTATTCCAACTTCACTATTTATACTATGAATATTTGCCACAGTACCTGTGATGACCATTATCTTTTTGGCAAGTGAGCATTGTAATATAGTTAAAATCACTCGTATCATGAATGAACGTTTGACAGTTTACAGTTAAGACAACAACCTAGAGATGATTCTAGACTTGAACTTCATGGATGGATCATGATCTATTGCCTGAATGCAGTTTGCATCACTGCTTTTGAAAGCATACAGTTATTGTCAATCTCATTTCTATACACTGAAGACTATTATTTAAATTCACCTTGACAATGGTTGCCATTCTCATTTCAAAAAAATCAGGCCTTGAAAAAATATCAGTAAAATTCCCTCACCCCTATTGTTAATAAATTACCATTCTTTCTGATCAGAAGGTGTATAGTTTTTCTATTTTTTTTTTAAATATTTTTTAAATATTGTTTTTTCCATGATTTGAATATTGAACAGATTTTTTTAACAAAATTCTTAATTGTTGAACTCACTTGCTAATTAAATTTTGTATAAACACACTATATTGCTTTTTAAAGATTTTAGAGCATTTCTTTGCACACTAAAAAGCAATTTTGCATATATATAAATTTTATTATTATGGTGATGATCAGTTCTTGCTCCTCCCAGTTCCCAGTACTTAACACTTCATATCACTTGAAAGCATACATAACCAAAAATGTCATTCATGATGTGCTGAATCATTAAATTGTGATTTACTAGCTTTTGACAAATACTGATTACTACATGTTGTGGGTAAAATACAATAATAAATACAATAATATTTTACCGGTGGATTGACTGAACAATCACATGAATAGGTTCTTTTTATTAGTAAATCCATTTTTTTAGAAAGAAAATTTTTTATGTTATTTTGGAAAACTGAGACAAATTAAATATTTTCAATGAAGTGTGTTACTTATTATAAACAGAATATTTATAAGAAATTTATTAAAATTAAATTTTACTCCAAACCTAATATATAAAATTGGCATCTATTATATTTGTTTATTAATATTAACATTATTACTGAGTGCACTTTTCATTATTTGTTCCACCTGTGATAACATTTTAAGAATTCTTCACCCACTGAGGATGTGTATGTAAAATAAGTAATTAAAAACATGCTATTGTCGACTCTTGTTTTAAAATAAAAAAATGTATGTGCTATACTTGTGCTATATATTTTCATTGCTATACAACAAAAAAGTAATTCATATTTTCTTACAAACAAAACTTTATTATGTAACTCAATTATTATTTTATATTTCACGGCTTTATACATAACTATAAACTAACAACAAACTTAGCAATGTACTGGGGAAGAATTATAAATGATCAGTGTCTTTTATGAATCGAGCTAATCAATGCATTACTTGGATATGTCCATTGGAAAAATTCTAGATCCTAGATTAATGCACAAAACATTGTGTGACACTCGATAATCAACAAGTTGTTGTGAATTTGTTTTCATGGTAGTGCAATTATTGTGTTTGTATAGCTGTGATAAATACAGTATATATATATTTATACATAGACCCTCCAGTAGAGGACTAGAGTGTCTATGATTTATATATACACTGTATCTGTTCCATTTGAACTGCATCTGTAATAAAAGTACATACATTATATAAGCCATTAGCTATAAATTGTATACTGGATCATTAAAATATGACATATTTTGACCATAGAAACATCTCTGTCATTTACATATATGAATGTGTAACTAATAATACAAATACTGTAATCAAGTTTTTGTTGCAAACAAAAATGTGATAATTTTTTTTTATATTGATCAATTTGCAATGTTTTTTTTTTTGTTTTTTTTTTAAGAATAAATATGTTTACATGCTGAAATAATGTTTTATTTCATGTGATTTTTGTTTTGACATTTAAAAAACTGCCATATGTTGATTTCATTATATACTGCCTATAAAGTCATTAATGGCGCAATTGTATCTCTTTCACATGAGCACCTCTGAAATTGAATACCCATGTACCTCGTACATCCTCGGGGGCGGACATCCGGGCATTTTCTACCGCCTGACAACCCTCCCGGTGAAAACAAAGGCCAAAACTCGCAAAAAAACGGTACTTTGGAATGATTGTTGAGAGTCCCCTGAACAGTGTAACAAGATTAGCCCTGCGTGTGTAACATATATAAATTTGGTTGTTCAGGATTACTTCAAAGTTGAGTTTGTGTTGTTTTCTCGAATTTTCACCAGCTCAAACGGCGTTCCACAGTAGCGCGCCCAGAGCCCATAGGAATGCATGTACAGTGGTGCGCGTCGTAGCAACATGGAACGTCTTGTGACGTAGCTCCGCCCCCGAAGATAAACTTATTTTTTCGTTAATTGGACTACCAACAAATATTATTTGATTAATTAATCATGTGTGGGTAAACAATTGGAATTATTTATTTTAAATAGGAAATGTGTGAAATGAGGGAACAAAATAGTTAAAATTTTATTTTTCTCAGTAAAAAGAAACTTCAAAATTGATTGATAGCATCTGAGTGTAGCCTACCTTGTGGTTGGATTGCATGAGGAAAATAGTGTAAAACGTTGATTTTTTTGTTGATTTTATGGCATTTGAGAAAGTCACTGATGCTTCATGTCGAAGTACCTTAAAGAAATTTTCACTGCTGCAAAATTTCACGATTTTTATTGATTTGTGAAAACATAAAAATCTTTCTCTCAAAATTAAAGCGGTTTACTGTTTACAATTGTTGTTCAACTCTTTAAATGCTGCGATTTTTCCTGTACACGAACAACATTTTTGCATATTTTAATAGATTTGATATAAATAAATTTCTTTGTTAGATTAATTGGACATAATTTTCAACAACATACAGATTTTGATCAAATTTGTTGTAAAAATGGAAAAAAAAAAGTTATAAGTTAATTTATGAAATGCTTTTTAAAAACAAAACAAATAGAAAGATTACACTAATTTGATGATGGGGCCTTTATGTGTGGTTGCTTGATTAAGTCAATTCTTGATAAATTATCTGAGCTTTGTTATTAATTTCTGTCTGTCATCTTGTTGACATTTAGTGTATATTTGTTGTGTTCTGTAAATAGATATTAATATAAGGAATAAAAGAATTAGAAAAAAAAATATTTGTATATATTTGTAAATCTCATTTTTTCTATAATACTGTAAAAGGATTAATTATTCACTGGGTTTTAATTTTGCTTATTTCGCTGACTGGAAAATGCGCTAAATTAAAACCCTGTGAATATGTAAATTTAGCATAGAACACATTACAACAATGTATCTAAATGATGAAACCGTGAATTTAAAACCCACTGAATATGCCTGAAATGGTAAATCAGCGAAATTTAAACCCAGTGAAAATTAGTCATTTTTCAGCATATGGCCTTTAGATCTGTGAGACCTTTGGCAGTGCCTAGTATCTGATCTACAAATTCCAGGAAAGAGATCTATGAGATCCTCCAAAAATGTCTAGAATCAGTGCTTGTAATCTTCTTATTTTGCATTTTTACAATGTTTACCAAAACAAGTAAACGAAAATGCTACATAATTTTACCAGATTTATGAAATTCTTAGAAATTTGTCTATAGAAAAACATTATTTACTATGAATGTCTACTATGGGAATATTTGAAAATCAATAACTTAAGATCTTGTGCTATTTATTATTAGATTTCATGTTATTAATACAAGATTTTGTGTTATTAGTCGAGATATTATTGTGCAAAGGACACAATGGGAGTATTTGTGGTTAGTGCATCTGCATGTGTGTGTGTCTCCTCTACTGATAGCTCGAGAACCAATTATCAGATTTTAATGGAACATGATATCTATATGCTCTTGAATAATACACAGACCTGATTAGTTTTTGGTTGAAATCAATATATATTAATGACCAAATTACCATATTAATTAGCCAATATTTATCTTTTCCACTCAGATTCAATGAAACATGGTAGATGCTCAGGGATAAGCCGTATACACGCTTAGTTTAGGGTTAAATGTTGTGCTTACTAAATACCTAATTTGCAAAAATTAACCAATTTAGGCCAGGGAAAAAAAATTCTCTGTTTCTCGTTTCATTGAAATTTTAAAATGAGGCGACGAGGCGTTTTTTTGTTTTTTTTTGAATACTGACCTAAAATGAGGGAAATTTTAAACTAGTGCGAGTAGCACAAGTGCATTTTGGAATGCTTTATAGAAGGAACAACGTAGGAAGGAACGTGTAGTTCAAAATGATGCGCGTGGAAACGAGAAACAGAAATTTTTTTTCTCAGCCTTATAGGTGATCCACAGATTTTTAGTACCACTCAATTTTAATGAAACTAGTAAATACAGTATTCCTTATTTATACCTTCAACACACAGGAGTTCTTTCTAATCTTTCTTTGATTTGTCCGTTTTCAAATGTCTCTAATGGGCTATCCTGATTTACAGTACCTCTCCTCAGTATGTATAAAAACAAAGTAATTGTAGCATTTATTTTTTGAACTCTAGATGGCAAATTCTTCATGAGTTTTCCTAGCATGTATTATTTAATACATTATGATTTATTCACATATAGTGACGAGTAGCTATTTGATAAAATAAAATCATGATTTATTTGTTTATATGTGAACACTCAAAATACTGTTGAAAAAGTGTAATTTTTAATAATCAAGTAATTTGATAAGTTTTGAAAATATATTCTGGTGACTTTCAGGTAATATTTGTGACTTTTTAAAGATTTTTTTCGCCATTGACATTATTATAGCTTCTCAGTAGCACGTTATTGGTTAAACCATAGAGGGACTGTGGTTAAACAAAACGACTACCGGTAGTAATATTCAACAGGCAGCCATATTGTATATAATGACTGACATAGAGGGCGTTTTTAAATGACAACATGGCGGACTCAAAGATCCTTAAAACTGTCCGGCTCATACAAATACAGTTAAAATCTGTCAACCATGCCGACGAACGAAAGGTAAACAATTCGATAACTTTATAGTACATTGAAATATACGATTCCTAAAAATTGAGACTTGTTGCCCTGAAAATAACGGTAAATTTCGTGAAAATCTGTCGCGTCAGATAGATCAGGTCTAAGTTGGCAATTCAAAACTGTGTTGTCAGCTGTTCCGAAAATTGAAGCCAAACAAAGCCGTTTTTCTTTTCAGCAAAATATTATCAATCAATTATCTTTATTTCATGATAGTTATATTGAGAATATGAATAAGAAAAATGTAATTAATATTCAGTATGGAACACATAAATTTGCACAATGCGTTGATTCATTCAGTTACCACCAAGGTCAGATCCAACCGCTTTATTTCACCGGAGGCAAGTATATTATTCTATGTATAATATTTTGCTTCAGTAGTAGTCAAAATAAATTATGAATAAATGTTGATCGTATCTAGAGACAGATGGGGCGTCAGTGTCAAACATATTTACACATAGAAATAATAAATAAGTCTATAACTGTAAACAATTTTGTCTGTATGTAGGTATATCAAGAATATTTTGAAACAAAGTAGGTAATCAGTTGTTCTAATCTTACAGCACCCAGCACTGTAAATCCACAGAGAGCCCAGAAATATCAGCAAAAAATACTCCCTACCATCTAACCTGTATGTACACCCAGTCTGTATGCTGGATGGGGGTGGTATCAGCTGGTATCTTGTGTATAAAATTGGATGAGGGCTGGGTATACTTACAGGTTGACCATACAGTTGCTAAAGTTCCTGTGCTCCTTGTAGTAAAATTTCAAATAATTTGATAGCATTTGAATTGATATATGGATGTATGTAAGGGTGCCTCTTCAGGGTAGTTGCTCTCAGAATGTTTCTTGGATAATAAAAAGAACCTTGTTATACTTAGTCAGTCACCGGTACATTCACCGACTACTCATATAATAACACAAAGTAGAAAAGCTTTTACACCATCCTCTACGCGTCCATTTTAAAAAGAGACTTGAGCTTTGAACAGTTCCCTAACATCTGGGCTTGTACTGCATCATCCTTAACTGGTGCAGATATTCAAATTTTCAGACTACTTAGTACAAGCCTTTGGTAACTTGTTTGGTAACTGAGCGCCTGTGAGTTGCTCAAGCAGTAGGTGAGGCGCAGTTTCATCTATGTGCCACTTGCGTCTATCTGCAAATCAGACTTGCGTGCCTGTCAAAAGAAACCTTTCATTGCTTAGAGTGCATGAATGCAAGATTGAAGGGAATTGAAAAGTTCCCATTTCTGTAGGGTTGCCTAGTCTTTGAACAATATATTTAGTTTCAAAACATGTCCAAGTGAAATACCTATGTGCATTTGTGATGTAGATTTTTGGTAGAATATGTGAAAAAATAGGAATAAATAAAAGCAATTGTATCATGTAACATAAATGTTACTTGCCATAATAACTGTACCTCTTTTCTCAATCTGTAGAGATCACTGCACTAATTTGATAACTCCACAGAATATAATTCTGTGAAATTTTTAACAAATACATGCAATTGACCTTTTTTTTTTTAGATCCTTACACTCCTTCATGAGCTTCACAAGATGCCCATATCCATTGACATTTTACAGGTATGTATCAACATCAGGTATCTGATCCTGGCGTATGATGTCGGGATGTACTGTATATATTGTATATATTGTATTTGTTCTATTAAAAGTGCATGTGCTTGCATGATATATAGAGATTTGTTATGGTCTGCATTAGTATATTATAAAGTACCTGTGAAATGCCCACCCACACATTTACTGTTTTTTGGTTTCTATTGCCCTGAAATTAATATTTGTAAAAAAAGGTAAAAATAATAAATCATCTTCAAGTGAAATTGAAAAATAAGATTCTGAGTTGCCATGCCCACTTCCTGCTGCAGTTAACTGTTTCTGGCTTTCAAACTTCTTGAAGTGAAAACTGCATCACCAAACATCTGATAGTAGTGGGAAGCCATCCAAGGGCCACAAACTGAATACCATAAAAACTTGTCATTGATTAACTATTCCTTTGACAGGTGTGTGAATTATTGGACAACTATGCTAATGAAAATCATTTTTTCGTTGTTATGGGAACTAATAGAATCTTAATACCTGTAAATACCTGTCATTTAAAAATTTGTACTTCCACAAAGCTAGGTATGATGCATTGTATAAAAACATCAAGAAACCAAGTGGTTTCGAAAAACGGTTGCTTGTTTTGAATACAAAATTACTTTTAAATTTTGACTGGTTTAATTGATATTGGTAGGAAAATCTTGTATTAAGTTTTTACGGTAACATAAACTGTATAAGCTTGTCTATATTTTTATTTAACTTCATAGACATATCTCAAATAGATTTTTGGAGATGAAGCTATGTGTCTGTTTATTTTCAATGAAAAAAGTTTCATGTTATATCATTTCCTTACAGAAAACTGGAATTGGCAAACTTGTCAATGGTTTCAGGAAAATCGGAGGCAGAGTAGGAGATTATGCAAAGAACTTAGTGCTGAAATGGAAACAGTTACTCACTTCAATGGAAACTGTAACATACTCAGAAACAACAGGACATACTGAAATTTATTGCCATGAACGCAGAGATGAGGAGACTGATGCTGGATATAGTCATCATGGTGATGACATCGATGAAAGTGTGGAAACTAAAAACTTCAAAAATAAGAAACATAAAAAGCAAGTCCATGATGTTGAGCATAGTAGCACAAACCGGAATGAAGAGTTCATGGAAAAGAAAAAGGAAAAAAGGAAAGAGAAAAAAAGAGAGGACAAGTCGGCCTCACAATCAAAATATGCAATTACAGAAACGGAACATGATAGTAAACCTAAAGTGCCAGAGAAAAAAGTCAATGTTAAAAAGAAAACCCCAAAAAAGGTTCAAGTTGAAGAAGTGTCTTTTGAGTCAACAGGGTTGTCATTTGCTGACTGTTTAAATTTAGATGCAGTGGCTCCAAAAAAAATTAAAAAGGACAAAATTTCTTCTTCTTCTCGGGTAACAGCAGATATTGGACACAAAATGAGAACTTCGGAAATGCCAAAAGTGGAACACCAGGAGAAGAAAAAAGAGAAACATAAAGACAAGCATAGAGAACGAAAACATAAGCATGGACATAAATCTGAAAGAAAAGATGAAGAAAGACATAAAGAAAAACACAAGAAAGTGAAAGATGGTCATGAGAAAAAGAGAAAACTAGAACCTGTCTCTGATGAAATGTCAAGTAAAAAGGTTGGTATTAAATATTCACACTTTAGGCAGCATCACTCAAGCGGCATATAATGTAAGATAAAGCTGACTGTCTTTTTTGTGAATTGTCAAATAAAAAAATAATTGCAAAAAATTGCATTTAGAACAGAAAACATGCAGCCACACATTGTTTGATTGCAGAAAAATTAATGGCAGCGTGATTGAAGGAAAACCCGATATACCAGGCTCAACCACGAAATTATTTTGAATTATATTTTAATTTAAAATGTCCTTGATGGAAACAAGAGTGACTGACCTATCTTTCCATTCATGTAATCTTGCATTCAGCAAAATACCCACTGTGTGCTGATTAGTGAATTTATTTTTGTCACACATAAATAGTCTGAAAAATCATTTCACTTTAATAGACCACATGTATGCAAGATCACAACTGCTCTAAAAAAAAGAATCTATGATCGTTATATGAACATTCTGAGTTCGTTATATATATAACTAAAATTCAACTATGTCGAACACATCTTAGAGTTCCTCAACCAATCTAAGTGGTTCTTACTAAATTAACTAGATTATTCAGTGCCATGCATACATTTATAACATAGATCCTGATTGGCTATTTGATATTCTAATTTGAAATCATATTATGCTGATTTTTTTTGTTTTTACTCACCAATCTGACTAAGACTCCAGTCCCTCCAGAGGTGGATTTACCAAGTATTAATGCAGATTATAAACCTCTTAGATTGCCTCAAATGGAGGATCTCCCAAAAAGAAAATCAGGTAAGGGTTATTGACATCATCACTTTGTGTTAGAACCTTACAGTTTCATAGTGATGTCATTGTTTTTACTGTGTCCACCTGTTCGTTATGACATCATTAGTTTATGTTAGAACCTTACAGCATTATGGTCATCACCCATCACCATAAACCCTGTGTTCATTATGACATCAGCACATTGTGTTGATGCCTCACACTTTCATGGTGATGTCATGATTATTCGCTATAACCATCATCACTTTGTGTTATAAACACACATGTTGATGACAAATATTGGTAAACATTAATAAACTATAAATCAAAACAAGCAATTTTATCACAGCTCATTCTCATTTAAAAATAAAAAAAAGGTAGGACCCCCACCCCCCACCCCCCTCAATTTCTTTTATTTCCTAAAAAAATTTCCAAATCTTTGGAACAATTTTATTTTATTGACGAAAATCTCATAATATTAGGTGGATATATTTTTGGTTAGAAAAATGAAAATATCTTTTTGGCCAAAAAAGAAAACTTGTAAGTTTTCCCAATACCTTGGCTTCTGTTGTAAATTTGCTAGAACTACACATGTACAATGAAACCTGTGTACATAATGACCACCTGACCTGGTGTACAAGAAATTTTCTTATTATTTACTGTAATTTACCTGAGGTTTATATGTATTTTTATTATTCAGCCTCCTTCGATGAAGCAGCTTTGACTGCTCTGAGTGTCACATCTCGACAGTCCAGAACTAAAGTGTTTTCAGGAAGAGCTCGTGAGCAGACATTTTCAGGTTAGCAGAGTAGCCACAGTTTTTTTATAAATATGTAATGCAAATTTGATACAATATAAAATTGTATATTATCGGTAAATCTCTTCAGTGTTGCATTCACCATTAAGTCACTGAACTGTCATTAACATATTTAAATGAGCTATGGTATTCAAACATGTTGGTACCATCCAGCATTTTGATTGGTTGATTAGCAATATACCTATCAAGTCAATAAACACAGTTTCAGGTCTGAAGTGCATGAAAAAAACATGGCAGATATCGTATCGCATCGTGCGTTTACATGTGACCAACTTGAAAATCATTTGCTTACGATGAAACTAAGTTGAATTTTGCTTGCATTTCATCACAATTCAACAAAGTTATTATAATCACTACTGAGTAGTAATCAACAATTGTAACACTACGAAAACAAGCAAGTTAATCACTTATGAAACGCAACATGATCGGATTGCGCTACAGTACTGTGATCATTTGCTACTAAGCAATGCATTCATATTTGTTTTTACTCAAAACTTCTTTTAAAATATACATTTAAAGTGTATTGCTAGAAATGCATCATTTGTTGTCCCTTTATGTTCCTAATTAGAGGGAACAGTGAAAAGTTTGTATATACACCAGTAAGAGCACATTTTAGAAGCAAGGGAACAATTTTCCAGTCATTCGGGAAATTTCTCGGGGGTTTGTTTATTAGATTTTGAAGATTTGTTCGGGGATATGTTTATTTGGGACTTGAGAGTACATAGATAAAATATCAAGAGATACATCAATAAGACTGACTGACAGCAGATTTTTAATAATACTTTGGAATCATTATTTTTATTTTTTGATCGAAGATGGTACGATGATATATAATGGGTGTGATTCAACTAAATATGGTTGATTGGTGGCCATGCTGCATTTCATGGTGGATATGCCAGTTTCTTCTGAATGCAATGACCATGTCTGTTTATTAATCTGTACATAGTACATAGACAGAATACCAAAGGATGCATGTCCATCTTTGCCAACAAAAAGGCTAAGCAAGTTACAATATTTGATGCAATATGATGACTTAATATTGTCACAACATTTTTCTTTAGGCATCATTGGTTACAAATTTCTGGCCTGTTTCTGTACAGAAATATGTTCATTTCATTGCAGATTAACTTTAGCTTATGTTATACGAGATGACTGTATATATAAAATTAAGATATTTTTTGCTCAATATAAATAATGTTATTTTTAAGTAAACTCTTTCAAACACTGGGACATCAACACTAATGTCTTCTGTACTATTTCTGTTTTACTTGATCAACTCTCATATGTCTTGTGGTGATTCTACCTGTTCATATTCCTAGAAATATTTTTTAGATTTTAACTGTTATTAATTTGTTATTTTCAAAATATATCCATGAACTTGCTATTGTTATATCTTTATTATACTTTTTAGTCATTTGGCAGTATATAAACTATGCAACACCTGAGAACATATAATGTAGAGCGATGTAGGGATATAATTTTTTTCTGCCCTGTATAGATACATGTGTAAGCACAATACATGGTTATGTATGTACTCAGCTGTTGCATTGCAGTGACTCTGCATGTATTGTTTTGTAATAATGTTTTTATTTTACAGCTGTTCCATCACTCTATGATTCTTGTATGAGAATACTATGTGAAAATATTGATGGTAAGTAATTATAATATTTACAAATTATATTTATTATAAGAGACTTTTTGTTATCAGCATATTTTGATTAAGCTTTATTTGCTGATGACAGCCATAAAATCACATTGGTCTTTAGAGTACGTCCAATCCGAAGTATACAACATTTGTTTTCACTTTCACTCGTTTGATTTTCGAACTTTTTGCTGTGTTTTAAGTTCATGAATTTGACAAAGAAACAATAAGTTCCTTTGTTTTTTCACATGTTCACACGGATTTAATTTAGAAAATTTTACTTATTAGCAAAAATAGCGAAATTAAAACCCAGAGAATAATTAAATATATTTACAGTTGTAAGATGTTCTGTTTATTTGTGTTTAGCTTACATGACAAAAAATCAATATATACACAATTTATGAAACAGGAGCAGGGATAAGAGTGAAATAGGAAGCTTAGTTGAGCTTGTAGAGACTTTGTGTGAGAGGAACAGGCTTAGAAGGGAAAACTCTCATGCTACTGCTTGTGATGGGATACACATCCACACACATCCTGGTTAGGAGTTTTAATTCTCACTTTTTGAACCCTGATCTTCTAGATAATCAAATTGTTAATTAAATTTTTAGTGTAAACAGTCTATCTAACAAATTCGCACCATCCCATACTGTTATTGTAGAGTTATTTCTATTTCTTATGTTGAAACTAATAATTGCATGATTTTATTTTTCGAATATCAGAAAGTGACATCTTGATGTTTAATTGGATAAATCTGTATCTTGATATAGAGATAGAAGACAGGGATAGAAAGTTTGAAATACACCTTTGAACAGCTTAGCTGTAAACATTTTTATAGTACTCTCAGGAATTAGAAAGTCAGAAACAGCAGGGACTGATAAGCAAGGTAAATTGTCTATTTAGAATGATTATATTTAAATTAACCTTTCATGAACTACCCAGTAGCTATGATAAAGTAAATCTTAATCAAGTTATGTTCGAATGACTATTTTAAATTCTATTGGCACGACAACATACGGTACATGTAATACATTGATACTCTATGAATAATGGTGTTTATATTGTACGTATTTCAACTTTCAAAATCTAACCCTGATATCATAATGCGGCTGCCTTTACTAAATGAGTGATTCAAAATAGTCAGTGACACTCTCCACGCAAGATAGCACTTCTTCGAATCACCTCTGCCACAGCTTGATTACAATGTATGCATTTATGCAAATCAAGGGTCATTGTGGGGTCAAACCCGAACTATATTTAAATATGGTGGAGTTTGCGGGAACTTTAAAAATTATTCTGAATAAATACAATTCAGACAGGGAATTGAAACCAAAGCAGATGGAAGTTATGGAAAGTGTATCGAAAGAGAAAGATTTAATAGTTTCCTTGCCAACTGGGTATGAGTCGTTGCCTTGAATAACAGAACAACACCTGCGTATTGATATAATAAGTCCTCTGTTTCTTGTAAAACTTTCCTACACGTACCCACCATATCAAGGATAAAGTTATTTCATGGAAATAAAATATTCATATGTAGCTTGTTATTTCATTCATCTTTATGAATATAGTAGATGACCAGCACTTAAAATTTGACTAGAAATTTGCCCTGAAAGCTAACTTAAATGTCATTTTCACAACTCTATTATATCATAATTATGGTCTTAGCAACACCTCACTGGAAAAATTTAATTAAAATTGCTGCCTACCTACTCTAAAATTGTTTCAGCCTGTGTAACTAGAAACACCAAATGTGTTTTATTTTTTCTAATATAGTCTAACTCTAATATTTGCAGCACTTGAAGATGTCGGTGGAGTACCGTTTGACATTCTTGAACCAGTCTTGAAAAAATGTAATGCAGAGCAGTTATTTAGATTAGAAGACTTCAATCCAGTAAGTTTATCCTTAATCCTTATTGGTGGTGGTTTGGGTTGCCCTGTATCATGGCAGATTATGATATCATTTCAGCACAAATAACCTATGAAGTCAACTAAGTTTTATTACTCTGCCTTGTATTTGATATTCAGACACATGTTGCTTGGCCATGTGGACACTTGTATACACTGTATTTCTATTTTTCTCCAACAGACTGAGGTACGAATAACACATGCAATTTTACAAGGCAGTAGGCCAAAATGACAGTATTACTTTGGCCGAACATTGCATTGCCAAAATTTCTTGGGTGCCAAATAGTGGTCAAAAACATTTTCCGCTGTCCTGCAGTGACAAACTTTCAATTTTAGCAAACAATTCCCCTGATTTCTTAAATTGAAATAGTCAATATGTATATATATTCTTAATTTGTACACCTACATAAAAAAAGAGATGGACATTTAAGAGCAAGACAAATGCATTTTCCATGTAATTATCAATGATTTGGATATGACTTAGGATCTCCAAAAATTGTTTCTTCTACATCTAAAACAATTGTGGGCAATGATTTCATTAATTTATACCAGATTGGGTGGTATTTAGACACCTAAATAAAGATGATTTTGATGAAATGGCCATTCAGCAAAATGGACTTTCCAATGGACTTACAATAATGTATTTTTTTTTTGCAGCATTTTCTTGAAGACACTAATGATTTATGGCAAATACATTGTATTAGGGAATTCAAGTTGTGCAAACCGAATGAGTTTGAGTCATGGAGAGAATTATATTTAGTAAGTACTCTACTTCTCAAATTTCATTTCAGTTGAATTGATTTTTGATTGAGTTGAATTGACGTTACTATCATCCGATAATTAAGATTTGATTGTCTCAAACTTTGTTGATAATATAAAATAAAATTGGTATGGGCTATAATGTGATTGAACATTCACTATTTTTCAAAAATAAAGCCTTTATTTAGGAACTATTATTTGTATATTCATGAGTCATCATCATGAAAACAATTTAATCATCAGCAGTTGTCTTAAAACAAGGGTACAGTTTGTCAGCTTCTCCAAGTCTTTTGATTGGTTCCCTGTATTAAGAAGCATTTTGATTGGTGCATTTGCAAGCTACTGAATTTGACAATGTAGACATACTTTATGGTTGCTTTCTTTTGGGAACTACCATGTGCCTCAAAGCAACCAGGATTTCATGACAATGTGATTATCAACTGGATCAAATTAAAGTAATTCTCATTTCCACTTTGTATTATTTGCAAAACACATCCCAATGATTATTGTGATCACCATGAGAAATGATAAAATCAGTTGATATGGCTACAAATGTTAAAATTTGTAATTACAAAATGAAAAATAATATTTATTATTATACATCTGTCACTGTAACTCCATACATGTAAGTTACAGCATGTAATTTTGTGGTATTTTACAGGGTATTTAAAAATTAACTCAAATTTTGTCTGTTGGCTCCAAAATTATGGTTCATTTCCAGTAATATTGAAGAATATGAGAAAAAAGTGCAGACAAATTTAGGTGAGAAAGTCTGGTGTTGAAAAGGTTAAGTTACACCTGGATTCACTGTTTATGAATTGTGTTTATATATTTGTACTCTATTGATTGCTTTCAGCGTAAGGTAGATGAACGACAAGCTAAGTTAGATAAGATTACTGCCAATATCTCAGCTCAGATGGCTCACAAGAAACCAGGTACAATGTCTGCTTTAATGTAAAGTTAAATCTATATCCATTTACAGTGTGATGGGAGTTTTTGCACTTCGCATCTGTATGTGTGTGTGTCTACCTTTCCAATAATATCTCAAGAACCATATATTGATTTTTGATAAAACCAGATGCATAGATGCTCCAGGCTAATGCACAGATTTGGTTAGGTTTTGGTTTATATCCATGCATATTAATTACATAATTTGCATGATAATTAGCTAATTTTTATCTGTTCCATGACTGTTCTACTGATATTTAATGAACTCCTCACTAGATTGTGATGAAACTTGGTACATAGATGTCATAGGACAATGCACAGACCTAATATTTTTGGGGTTAATATCTGGCATATTGCTCACTTAATTTGCATAATTAGTACATTTTTGGTGTTTCCACTGATATTTCAAGTACTAATCATTATATTTCAATGAAATTTGGTACATAAATGCTCTAAGACTATGCACAGACCTTATTAGTTTTGAATAAAAATCTGTGCATATTATCTTTGATTAACAGAATATCTTAAAGTACATGTGTGCTTGTATGCATGTAAACAGCACACTCGTAACCAGAACTGTTGTTCCATGGTTGATGTGATTCTCTTGTGTTCAAGTCCCTGGGTAAAAGTACATATTCCATGAAAGGCTAATTGGTGGAAACAAGTGCTAAAATGCTGTTTTTCAATGAACTTTGTAAACTGCCAGTAATGTATTTTCACAATATCAATATCATTGCCATTGATGTAAGATATTACATTATTATACCTCATGACCATGACAGCCAATCAGATTACCGTATTAAAGGTTAACATTTTTGTATGTTAACCTCTTGCCATAATTGTATGTTAACCTCCATCCGGGTACCTTCCTCTTCAGGTTACCTGATTTACCTGATAACTTGTCAGGGGAGCACGATACGCTGCAATATTCGTGAACTGACTGGTTTGCCATGTTTACGTTCACTATATGACTATTTTATTGGAGAGAAAAACTAGGATTTTGTAGCGAATTCACATGATTTTTAGTGAAGATTGTCATGCGTTCGCCAGCGCGCTCAGCTACGAGCTTTTTGACATTCGATCTGCGATTATGCAGTTCGTCTGCCTAAAAATTCTGAGAGTTGTGAACTTACTTGTAACAGCATCGTTTTGTTAGATTTTGTTACCTTGCCCGTACCATCAAAGATGGAAGGGAAAGGTATATTAAGGGAAAAATTTTGTCCGTCGTTGTTGTCGTCGTTGTCGTTAATAATTGTTATTGTGTGCATAATAACTTTACTAATTCTATTCCAAACTTTATCAAACTTGGTCACCTTATTCATCAGTATGAAGTCTTCCCTGAGTTTGAACAACAGATGTCCTGTATGAAAATATCATGCAAAAATTGAGAAAATCTGATAAAATATTTTGACTGTTTCTACTTGACTGATCACTGGTGATACACATCAAAGGTCACTGATCTCAGTGAAAATATGC